TGTATAGTTTTAAAAACATACAAGGCCCTGGCTGGGTAGCTCCATTGGTTAGAACATTTCCCCCATACACCAAGGTTGTGGGTTCAATACGTGGTCAGGGCACATACAAGAATCAACCAATGAATGCATAAATAAGTGGAACAACAACAGCAGCAAAAAACATACAAAAACATTTGACCAGGGTATATTTTAAAGAGATTGCCTAGAATGCATGTTTAAAGTAAGTTTAGTCAAGTATGGCACAGAAAAATGCACAGTCATAAATGTGAAGCTTGATGAGTTCTCACAAAATGGAACACATCCCTGTAACCAGCACCCAGATCAAGAAACAGAGCATTTCAAACTTCCAGAAGCAGCCCGTATGCCCTGTTCTGTTCACTGTCTCACAGAGGGTAGCATTGTTCTGACTTCTAGGGGGAGATTAGTTTTGCCAGTTTTTTTAACTTAATATAATGAGTCATATACTTTGTCTTCTTGTACCTGGCTTCTTTCACTCAATATTAAGTTTGTGAGCCTTATCACATTGATACATGGTGCAACTGTGTGTTCATTCTCTTTGCTGAGTATTCCATTGTGTGAATACATCACAAATTGTCTGTCTTATTGCGGATATGCACTTGGATGTTGTCCAGGTTGGGGCTATTATGAGTAGTGCCATTATGATCAAGTCTTATGCTTTTCTTGTGATAAACGTATGAGCATGTTTCTGCTCAGTTTATACCAAGGATGGGAACTGCTGGGTCATGGGATATGAATATTAACTAACTTTAGAAGCTACGGCCACATTTCCAAAGTATGAATGAGAGAAAGGTCAGTTTGTCTTTAGATCATAGAACTCAGTTCTCACGAGCAGCAGAATCAGGCCTCGTGTTGCCATCGATGTTTTCTTTCTATTGTGGAAATTAATTTAACTAATAAAGAGGATTCCGTGACATGTTTCTAGTTAAAAAAATTTTTTAAAACTCCTCACCCATTGTACCTTTTCACTGTGCGGTAAAACATATTTACTTTTAGTATTCGACGGGAGTGAGAAAGAGTAATGGGCAAAGGTGGGCACTCTCTTGGCTACTCTTTGGAGGGATTTGTACAGGGAGGAGAGAGTTCAGACTCCCTCTAGGGAGTCTCAAAGTAAGAGTTCAAATTTCTGGGATTCCTTGGCTCCTCCAGGGATCTGGTGTAAGGGAGTGTGACAACTTGGGAAGAGAATGCAGGATGCCTACCCACCCATTCCCTAACCCTGTTACTGTGAATAAATCATCTCGAGGACCACAGAAGCTGATCTTTTGGGATTGTTCATCATTTTCATATTTCAGGAAAACTTTTCCACTTTCATTTTCCAAGTCCTCTAGTAAGCAAGAAACTCTTTACCCTGAGGTCAACAAAATGTCAGCTAGGTATATCATTTGGAATTCTTGGCTCAAAATAAAAACAAAAGCTCCTCAAAGCCTGTATTCTATTCCTTTCACAGTTTCAAATAACAATAGAAAGTCATTAAAAAAATAAAACCTTTGTCTGGAATTGTTAATTACTCCTGACATTGGTCATATGTATAAGATTATAACAGCACATTTATATCTTGCTTAAAATGAAATGGAAAGAAAAAACCCAAATCCTTATTTTTTTTTTTTTTGCCTACATATAGGCATTAGGGTTCCTAGATAATCTGGAACAAAAAGGTGAGTTGAATAAACTTAATAGTTTCGCTAAAAGCAATGCCTGTTTTTAACTCCAGACATAGGTTCAGAGCTCAGCACTTGAATTTTTTACCTGTGATACATTTTCTAACTTTTGAGCCTTAGTTTTTAAATCTGTAAAATTGGTTTCAGATCCCTGGCCCCTTCCTACCACCTGGGGTTGCTGTGGGGATCAAATGTGACCATTTATGTGGCACTATAAACTGAAAGTGCTAAACCTAAACCTTTGAGAGCTGGGCTTAGCAGACCCTGTGTTTTAAGAAAGATGAGCACCACCCATTGACCCAGAGCAGCGATTTTCTACCTTTTTCCTCTAATAGCACATGAAGTGATTACTCTCTGTGGCACACCAAAAATATATGTATTGAACATTTTGCCAATCTGACAAAAAAATAGGTATAATTTTGATTCCGTCATCCCAGATGGCTATTGTGTAAGCTATTGTCATTTATTTCTTTGACAGTCTAAGGGGAAAGAGGTCAGTGCCCCTGACTAAATAGTCAGGCACCGAAGGTTTTAAACATTCTTGCTACACCTCAGCTGAAAATCGCTGCCCGAGAGTGTAAAGGAAACCCCCACTGTACCTCGAGAACTTGTGCACACACATGAGCCTGAACTTTTAACCTTGCACCAGATGCCTCTGGCTGACCTGTTTAGTTATGCGTTACTTGTCTAGATTCTTCTGGTTGCTCACTAACACCCCTTCCCACAGGGGAAAGGAGATGGGCAAAAATTTTTGCTTTGGTGAGAGCTCTGAACTGTTACAGGTCATCTTTCACTTCTGGAGGAGGAGTTACAGGGCTGCCTAAACTAGGCAGTCAGGGGCACTGCTGCCCATGTCTAGAACTTCTTTCTTGCTTTAAATGTTTCTTTTACCTACCCACATTTATTAGGGGTAGAGAATATAGAAATGCTTACAAGCCATAAAAAGGCCTACATAAGAATTTTAGTGATCATTATTTATCATTGTTAGGGTAGTAAATGAGTGAACGGTGACTGGAGCGGCTGCACAAACACTACTCCCCCATATATTCCTTATTAACTGCTGAGAAATTCATCATTCTTTTAACATCAGAACATCACCCCAGAAATGAAATCAGGAATTAACCACGTTCAATACAACCTGAAGATGCTACAGGAATTAGGTTAATTTTTAATAAAAGTGTTTTCTTGGTATTGAGCAGGTTTTAAAAATCAAATTCTATAAAAATATAGAATGTGGTCTGGGAATGTGCATGGCAGTGATATTGACCCAGCCTCTAAAAGTGTTACTAGGTCTTTCCCAGAAAACTGGGAACTTAGAGCTGTGGGGATGGAAATATACAGGTTCATAATCCCTTTCCTGAAATAAGATTTGTTTTAGGATTCACAGCTCCTCTTAATGATAAAACACCCCCAGTAAGATCTGGAGCAGAACCCTATAATCAAATACATTAATACGTCTGCATCAAAGTGAATGAATGCTCACACTAAATGGTTTAATGAAGACTATAAATACACATCCATTGAAGTTAGGATTTTCTGCTAAATAAGGTCAGGTCATGTCATATTTTACTAACAAATGTGTCACGCAAAGCTTTTGATTTTCAGTATCTGTTGAATTTGGGAATCCACAGATGGGATTGTTGGTGTGCTTTATGTTTGGGTATTAGCTCCTGACTGGAGTGCTTTTTATATGGGCAGGTAGCAAATTCTTATGAGACAAGAGAGTCAGGAGCACCATCTGTGGAGTCACACTGCCTGGGTTCCAATTTTAGCCCTGCCAAGTGACTTTGGGTAAATTATTTAACTTTCTAGGGTCTTATTTTTTCATTTGTGGAGCTGCAGTCATTTTCTTATGAAGATTAAATAGTTTGCTTGCAAAGCACAATGTATGTATTACATTAGGCACTCAATGAATATGCATCAGTTTCTTCATCTCTATAATAGATAGTGACAATGCCTGTCACAAACATGTTTTATGAAACTTGTTTTTATGAAACTTGTAAGTAAATAGGTATAACATGCTTCGACTAGTGCCTGCCCCATCATCAGCATTCAGTAAATAGTAGCCAATATCACTGTTATTATCACCACTACTAAAAGTTTGTACCTTTCCTATCAGAGTCATTTTTAGGAAAGAGAGAGAAAATAAATATCTGTTCAGTGAATGAGTAGAGCATTAGAAAGTGATAATTCATAATTAGAATTTTCTGGACTACAGTTCCATCCTATTAAATTTCAATTCTTTCCAAGGTTATTTGCTTCCCACCTCCCCAACACTATCCCCTAGTACCTTGATCTTCCTCCATTTGCACCATACTTGGTGAACTTGGCACTTGTCTTCCTCATCACAACCATGCAGGTGTGTTAGGCTGTCTGGGAAGCTGTCCCAGATGCTGACAAACCCTTGGCAGGAAGATAGAAAGGCAAAGGGGAAATTTTGGCTGACGTCTCCAGGTCTGACTCCTTACTCACCTGGAGAGTTCCAGAGATATCTTTAAAGTTTTAGGATAAATGATGAGGCTGCTGCTCCTTTTTTTTTTTTTTTTTTTTGGTGTCTCTACCAGATACATATCTTGGATTCTCATTTTGTTGTTGTTGTTGCATGTTAATCTCTTGTGATTGCTTAGTAATGACAGGTTTTGATAAAATCCTAAGTCTACAGAGATGTTTTAAATTCAGGCAATGGATGGAGGAGTGAGGACCCACTAGTGGAAGAATGCGTGCTTGTGTGTCACGGTGTGGACTAATGTCTTGGCACGGCGGCCATATTTCCTGGTGTGTGAGCACTGGATCTTCTCTTAAGGCCGCGCATAGTTGGCAAGCCCTATTCTGTTACTCTTCCGAGGGGGTACTTAGATAGCGAAGGTGATGGATAATGTTGGGTAGGTACTGGTTGGACAGGGACATGAGAGACTATGGAAAGAATGTTTTTGAAAGGGCTTTATTACATTGGATGTTAGTGTCTGTAAACAATTACAGCATTGAGGGAGTTCAAGATTTAAATGAGAAACACAACTTTGTCAGATTATACTGGTCGGATAAAATGGCATGGGCTCCGGAAATCTATAATTAAATGTATTTTTGAAAATGAAAAATATAGTATAACATCTGGTTTATTTCACTACAGAGGAGCCTGGGTATTGCTTATGTTAAGTGTGATTGACTTTGGCTGATATTTCTGTGAAAAATAACTATTTCAGTTAAATTTTTTGTGCTTGACTGTGTTTATGGTGTAAACAAATTATTCATACACACACTAGTGTAGAAATTGGCTGTGTTATTTAGAAAATCTAATGCGTGTTCATTTTCTTTTTGTTGCAGCGAATATTCAACTCCTTTGTTTACACTGAGAAAATCTCAAATGGAGAAAGTGAAGTGCAGCAGGTAAGAAGCTATTTAGTGCTTCGCATTCTGTCTTGGCTTTTGGATGTGGCTTTTTTCCTCTTTCCACACCATCTCCATGTGGGGTTTCCTGTCCTCTGAGTGTGAATTCATAGACATCCTAAACATAATGGTGACAGCCTCTCACTTCAGGTTCTTGCAGGCAGTTGAAATAATAGTCATATGGATGGTTTCCTGTTATATGTTACTGTGGAAACATTATTGAATTCCCTTTTGTTGCTTTGGAAATTCCTAAATGACTCATTTTTTAAAATATTAGGAAATTATTTCATCTGAGATAGGAGAAAGTGCCCAGGTTTGGAATCAGACAAACGCAGGCCAGACTCTGGTTTGTCTACTTATTTCGTGACCCCCAGTGAGCAGCTGAGCCTTTCTGACCTGCAGGTTCCCAGTCTCACATAAGAGGAATAGAATATCTGCCCTATGAGATTCTGAGAATTAAATAAAGGAATGTCACATTGAGCGTAAATGAAATCCTTATGTGGAAGGCTTGGCCACAGCAGCAGCTCAGTAAATACTGGCTTCTTTTGTTTTTGTTTGTTTGTTTTTTCATTTCTCTTTCCTCTTCTTGTATTCTTCCTTTGCTTCTTTCCTTCCATCTTCTTTCAATGCTCTGTAAGGTCAAAAAGTTCTGAGGACAGATTCTATTCGCTTTATTTATAGCTGGCTTTAAATGGACTGCTTCCCAAATTAAAACATAGTGTTAGCGAACTTGGTCATAAATAATTGATCTGCACTTGAAAAGAAGGGTGGTAAAGAGTATTCTGGGTTTTAATTTCAGCTAATCCACCCACTTCATTACACGATGTGACCATCAACTGGTAATTTGATGCTGGGTTGGAAATTTAAGTAATAAACAGCACCAGGCTAAAAACCAGAGTGTAGCAGAGTACTTCCACAGAGTAAAGAGATCACTATAGGAAAACACATAACAATTTAAACTCTCTGAGATGCTGCCTTTGTTTTATTCATGGAAAACAGCTTGACTTGATCTGAACTTTGGAAGTGCATACAAGAGGTAAAAGCTTTGCAAGTGTCATTAGACTGAAGTTATATATAGGATAGTTATAGTTATTTACAATGAATTCCTGAAGTTTAGTCTTGAAGTTCAGCATTTCCTGTTTATAGACATTAAAATATTTTTATTGTTTTTTTTTCAGATTAAATTTATAGGATGTAAGCAGCCATATATATATATATATATATATATCCTTAGCTTTAGATATTTAAAAAAATGAATGACCTGAAATTATAAGGAATATGAAATGACTTGCTATCTTCAGAATTCCTGTGTTATTTTTATTCCAGCAAACTGAAAAGCACTTCAGGATCATGAAATATAAAAGGGTTTTGCAGGGGGAGGGTTTCAGCACAAAACATGTTTAAGGAAACTTTTGGGGAGACCAACAGCTACTTGATAACATTGTTAGAGAAACTGATCCAGGGATATCAGTTTTGCTACTTTCTCTTAAGTAACAGATACAAGGTCTTCCTTCAGCTGTTTTCAAGTGTGCAAGCGGTTTTGTTTTCTTGTACTGATGCCATTGCTTTACTTACCTGTGAACAAATTTGGAAGTGTTCAGTGATGATTTTTTTAAATGATAGCAGCTGATTGAGCACTTATGGGACACTGGTGCTAGGCAATTTCAATTTATTATCACATTGATTTTCCTGAATAACTTTGTAGGAAAGATATTATCCTTATTACAGATGAGGAAACTGAAACTCCAAAAGACAAGTTACCTGTAGCCTCAGGACTAGTAAGTAAGCTAGTTTTCAAAATAAGTTTGGCACAGAGGTATCTGTATTTTTATTTTAATAGAATTTATTTTAACAATTTGTGTTTTCATCCAAAATAGAAGTCTCTTCTAACTCTTGTTTTTGTCTGAATAATTCAAATGAAGGAGAATTACCCACATACTCAGTTCTATCTCTCCTCTCTCTGAACACCCAAAGAGTTCTCTCTGATACTGACCCCGAGTGTACTTCTGTCTCCAGTCTGTCCAGAGCGTCCTCTGAAAGAGCCCTGAACACACAGAACTTATGCCTCTTTTGCATCCAGTACTTGGAGATAATTATGTCATTATCATTATCATTTAGCCTAAATTTAAAAGTACTCAGGGGCTACTCATAGACACAGAGAGGAACTGGTGGTTATCAGAAGGGATGGGCGCAAGAGGTGAAGGGATTAAGAAATAGAAATTGGTAGTTACAAAATAGTCAACAGAGATGTAAGTAAAACATAGGGAATGTAGTTAATAATGTTGTGATAACTGTGTATGGGGCCTACTGGATATATCGAAGGGGATACTATGTAAAGTATCAATATATAATTATCTAACCACCAATCTGTACACCTGAAACCAATACAAAATGAAATTAGAAGGAAGAAAAATAGAAAGAAAATCCTGAGGTCCAAAAAATTTCTTCTTCTTTGACATGACTTTCATTTCCTTTCAGTTCTGTGGTCACTGAAACAATTACCAATAATAAAAGCTTATATTTGCATATGTACTGAGCACTTTGCTATCACTTCACTGTGATACTCCTGTGGGTTCAATTGGGCAGGAGTTATCCATATTTTGTAGTGGGGAAACAGAAACCCCTAATATCTTGCTTGACTTGATTAATAACTACCCAGGAACTCTGGACCCTGAGATGCTGGTTAGTACCTGTGATGAAATCTTTAGGGAAATGTTTATCTCTTATGGTCATTATTGTGTGAATAGGTCCCCCATCGCAGTCACTCATACTCGCACATCTTTTATCTCCTTTGAATTTCAGAATAACTCTGTAAGGTCCATGGAGTTACTGTTTTTAATGTAGAAAGGTCAAGGGGTCCTAGCTACTATGTAATTAAGCTGGCTTTTTTTAAATTTTAAGGTTTTTTTAAACATGTGAAGAGTATATAAAACATATGCACAGACAGTAAAGAAATTAAGATGAATATCTCAACCTGCTGCTACCCGGCTAAAGAAATACGGCATGACCGCGAGTAGAAAAGCCTGTGTGACCCTCCCAGAGGGTTTCTCCCTCCTTCTTGAAAATAATTATACAGTTTGACTATTTTTATTCCTTATATCCTTATATAAATTTGAACTATATTGTTTATATTCATGTATCTTACTTTCTCACTCAGCGTTATCTTCCTTAGAATCACCTAGGCTGAGATCTGTAAGGTGTATTTGTTTTCAATTCTACATGCTATTTAATTAAATGCAGTGTATGTATACATTTTTTATTGATGATATCTGGCTATTTTAGTGTTTTAATTTTTTACAATTTTTGTTCCTATTTTCTGGTGCATAGTTTAAGTGGAGTAATTATTTTAATTGAAAGGACATTTTTATCCCTGGCCTCTGCCAGTTAAGTGGTGGTAGTGGTGGTGGTGGGTGTATCTGCACAGTTTCCAAATGCCCTGGGTGGGGAGAAGGGCTTTAGCTCAGATGGAGAACCCCTTCCGGAGCAGGATGGCTGGATGCTGCCAAACCCGCAGTGGCTGTCACTGGTTACCTTCCCGCAGACAGGGTATTAAAAACGTGCTGCTCCGTATCCTCTTCAGTACTTGGTATTACTGATTTTGAATCTTTTATCAATTTGGAGTGTTTGAAATGGTGTCTAATGAGTTTCATTTGTTTTACTCTGATTACTAATGAGGTTGGAATGACTTTTTGCATATTTATGATACATTTTTATGTATTTCTTCTCCTGTCAAATGTCTACTAATGTCTTTTGTCCATTTTTTAAATTGGGTTGCTTGTTTATTTTAGAGTTTAAAAATTCCATACATATTCTACATCAGCGCTGTCCAAGAGAATTTTCTGAGATGATTAGTTCCATATCGGTGCTAACTGAGCAGCCACTAGCCACATGTGGCTTCTGAGCAGCCGACATGTGGGTAGAGCTACTGAGAAATTCAATTTTTTATTTAATTTTCAGCCACACATGGCCGGCCAGTGGTTATCGTATAAGATTCCCTTGTAGATCTGTTTGATAAATATATTCTCCCAATTTGTGCTTTTCTTTTCACTTTACTTATGATACCTTTTAAAAGAATACATATTTAATTTTCATAGTTTTTAAAATCAGCCTTTTCCTTTTGTTTTCTGCTTTTTATGTTTTGTTAAGGAAATTCTTTTGTACTCCAAAGATATAAAGAAGGTAGAGAAGGTAGAGAACTCCTACCTTCTAAAACTTTTGCCTTTCTCACTTAAGACTTTTATCCACTTGAAATTGATTTTGGCGTTAGATATGAAGTAGGTATCTCATTTCTTATTTTTCCCCCATATGTATTTCCAAATGTTCTAGCACTATCTATTGAACAATTTATCTTTTCCCCTGACTTGTTTTTAATGTGCTTTCTGTCATTAGTTAAGTTCCCACATATGTGTGAGTTTGATTTGGTTCTGTTGGTGAATTTTCTCATTGTGCCGGTACCATATGTCTGGTAGGGTGACCCACCCCTTCACTTATTTTTCTCGAGAGTATCTGTGGCTCTTTGTTCTTACATAAGAATTTTTGGCCACTTGCTGTTACATATGAATTTTAGAATATTTGTCTAATTATGAAAGAAAATCCTATTGGGATTTTAATTTGCATTATAATGAATTTGTAGATCAATTTGAAGGTAATATCTTTACTAACATGTATAGCTCTCCATGTACCTAGTAATTCTACTGTGCTATGTCTTTCAGCTTGGGTTTGTAATATGTTTACAAAAGACCTGAAAATCCATGTATATGGGATTTACTTCTAGCTATTTCAGTTCAATTATAAGCTATAGCTTTAAAAATTATAGTTTCCTAACTGTTGCTATTTGTGTTTTATGTATTTATTTTACATGTAGTTATCTTCTTAAACCATCATATTGGTTCTAATAATTTACCTGTAGGTTCCTTTGGATTTTCTGTGTACATAGTCATTTATTCACATAGGGCAGTTTTGATTCTTTCCTTCTAATTCTCATACCTTTCATTGCTTTT